TTTACCTTCTGCCATCATTAGAAACTTGGGTTCTTAAAGAGCAAGTGAAGATATTTATAGGCTATAAAATAAATTAATATAACTAAAGAAACTTTCTTTATAAAACTTTAATAATTACATAAATTAATAAAATATATAAAAATGTTTTCTAAGTTATATCCATTATTAATACAATTTGGATTTCTTGGTTGAGTTGTGAAGAAGACAAGTTAAGCTATGAAGAATCCTTTCGAAATGGTTCATAAAATATTCTAAAACATATTTGATTGTACATTTTTTCTTTATCTTAAATTTATAACATTTAGTTTCAGAGTTTTGGTCATCTATTTCAGGCGTTTAAAAACCATTGTGATTTCTTTAGCAGTTTCTTGTGTAAAATGTGTAAAACTAACTTTAATTATTTTACAAAATTTACTCAAACTAATAATAACTTTACCTCCACAGATCTAAGCAAGAAAATTACATTTTCCAAAGGTATCTGCCCCAAGAGTGATACAATTTATTCCTTATAAATTTTCACTTGCCCAAAAAAAACCAAAAAATAAAAATAATAATAGAAAAGAAGATGAACAGCTTGTGGGCTCTCGATTTCCATTCTGTGGCACGCACGAGTGCATCCACAATACCCGGAGAATATTTAGGCACTTTCAGAGGAAACCTGCCACTGCGACGTGCAAATTGATCAGAATAAATTGCATAAAATATTCCATTTACGTTGCCATCCCCCAAAAAATTATTGTAAGCATCTAATGCAATCAAAAAGTGTTGCAACGCCTTTGGGCCAAAACAATGCGCAACTGGCCATTAATTTGCCTCCCAACTGCCCGGGAGCAGCAGCATTTCTGTGCTGAGTTATGCCCGGAATTTGTGATAAGCTATGCGGATTACAGACTTGTCTTCCTTTCTATCTCCCTGACTGCTAGGAAAATGCCAAGAAAACTGAGCTTTCTTTTGCCCCTGCTCCTGTAAATCCCAGGCAAATAGGGGGAAAAGACTTGGAAGGATACCGCTTGCATGCTGTTAAAATAATTAGTGGCAGAAGGCCACCAACACACCCAACACACACACACAGCACCCACAACACCCACTTTCCAGCCAGGTGCAAAGCCAAAGCTCTGTTAAATTCGGAGTTGCAACAAAAGAGTTGATTATTTACCCACGTGCTCAAAGTTCTGCTCACGTGCACTTCCATATGCAAATACATCAGCCAGTCATTAAATTAATTAAAAAGAGCTCTTTCCGTGAAATGACTGTGCGAAAAGTTTGCATTTGCACCTGGGCTTCAGTATTTACTGAATTATTTCGAAAGCAGCCATTAAATAAGAACGATAGCGGAGATATCTTGCGTCTAAATCCGATATTATAAGATTTTTGAATTGCCTTATTATAAAGTAATGCATATTCCTACTTAAGGAATGTATAAGCCTGAGATAAAGTTGAAATTCTAGACTTGAACAGGTTTTGAGTCGGATTGAAAGTCATCATAACAAATAACAAGGTTTTAGTTTCCCTTTAAATGACTAATGTATACCTTTCCCTGTAACACATTTGTTTAATCGCTTAATTCAAATGTATCAAGTGGCAAACTACATTTGCTACTAAGGTAAATATTGTGGATTAAGTTCAAACTTTCTTTTTAGTAAAATATACACATATGCATAGCTTATTTTCTTTATACCTAAATGTATATATAATTCATAATAAACGATAATTACCATTGTATAAAGTCCAAGTGTGAGGCTTTGCTAATGAAACTTTGTTGCCACATATAGCACCCCAAAATTGGTTGGATAAATATACTTACCAGCAAAGAAGAAGTCTTAAATGGTCCCCCAAAGATGTGTACTGAGAACAACCCTTAGTTTTCTTTCGATGATATATCCCCCTGAATTGTTGGGGAGAGTTCAACGAACTTGCCCCAAAAAAACCAGAAGGAGACCCCAAAGGAATTGCTGCCCACCAAAATCGGATGAAGAGGCGGTACCAACTCCGGTCACATGTCACAAGGGGGAACCATAAACTTGGGCATAAGATTTACTAATAACAATGATATAAGGCATTTGCCCCAAAATGAGTATATAATAAAGCTAATGGAAAATTATTGGAGCCCGGAGCTCTTGCTGAAGATTACATTATATAAATATATAAATACAGAAACTACATATGTATTACATAGACCGCAGGATAATTAATGGGATGCCATTTGATTATATTCATCTCGGGCAGAAATTCCTCGATTTCAAATTGATTAAATTTCACACTGAAAAATTATAACGTCAAGTGTTGAATTTATAGCATAGCCCATTTAAGGCTATCACTCGAAATGACCGGAATTCCATTCCGGCTGCGAATGTTTATTACCTGTACAATATGTGTTATTGGCAGAACTAAAACCTTTTTCGGTGAAATGGGCAAAACTTAATGGTCTATTAAGGTGTTGGGTCCTGGCGATTTAAATGCAATTAAATGGAGGGTGTTCTCCTTCAATTAAAATAAATGAAATGACCGAAAAGATAGAGAGAGAGTGGCTCGTAAAAATGATAAAAGCATTTAAATGGGTAATCAATAAAAGCCCCTTCGACTGACATTTATTTATGAACGTTAATAACTTTTAAAGCATTTCATTCAACTCAAATATAAATGGCCAACGACTACATTTAAAGGGTTTTTCGGGTTTGGGGGATATTCTGACATGTTTTAGCGGTACAAACACACCCATGGTGGAACACACAAAATGTCAACTTTTTGCCAACCGAAAATTGTCAAATGCACAGAATTTTAAGCGCCATACATTTATGTTGATGCGGTTTAAAAGTTTTTTAATTACATTTGCAGGAGACCCGGGAACCATCCGCCAAATAAAACAAGAACAACACCATCCTTTTTGAGCGGACATACATAAAACACATGCAAAAAGCACACACCCCCGCACCATTTGGAGAGTATATTTTACGCTTTATGATTGTATTTGGCTGTGAAAATGTTTAAAACTCATTTAATTTGAAACAAATTAGAAACGATAACACACAGAAAAGTGAGTTGTTGTTGTTCCCTTTTCCATCGTCGGGAAGCTTTTATTTTGACACTAATGACTTTCGGTTTGAGACAAATATTGGCCACTGCAGTTGAAGTGTTTTGATGTAAATAGATTTACATTGTTTATTGGTCACTTAATTAACCACTAAAAGTACATTTTATACCCTTGGATACCCAGTGAGGGACTGTCCGACTATAAAAGTGTATATAGTTTTGATCAGGCTTCAAAAGCCGTCGATCTAGCCATGTCCGTCTGTCCGTCTGTCCGTTTTTACCAAAATTAGTCCCTCAGTTCCTCTCTCTCTGTTTTTCTCTGGAGACATCTCTTTCTCTCTAGCTCCCTCTGCCCTCTGCCCTCCCTATCGATTTCTCTTTTTCTCTTGCTCTCACTTTCTCTGCTCTCTTGCTCTCACTTCTCTGTTATTATTTCTCTGTTATCTCAGGGACTATAAATACAGGCGCTGCCGTTGCACCCACCTCATTCTGTCCGCGGCCTCCCTCCTGTATACATCTATAGTGATAGTGATAGGGATTGCCCTTTGACTTCAAAAATATCGTCAGCCCCATGGAGTACATCTGGATAAACAGGAAGTAGCTTACTTCGATGACGTGTCCTCTACTGCGGTAAGACTTAACCCTAACAATAAAAATGGTTTTAATATGAAGTTTACACTTATTAAATTCATCACAAATTTATGTTTATTCTTAATACAAAAAGTCTTTAGTATAAGATAATATTACATATACTTTGCTGCTTTAATTACTTTCAGCTTTCGGGTTTCTGTGGCAACACCAAATGAGAAACGATCATTAACTGATGACATGCCTAAACCGTTCATCCCACATCATCTCGTATGTATGTGTACATTAACCCATTAAATTCCTGCCTTTGCATACAGCTCACATACCCCACCATACCCAGGTCACCCGCTTGTCACTCGCTTGTCAATCATCCATCAAAGCCCCAAGGAGGAGGCCATCAGGACTGTGAAAACTTGGGCCTACTTATCTCCACATCGAATGCTCGCAGAAACAGAAACTAATTGCCAAAGCGCCTTGATGCCTGTGTAAGCAGTTGGGATTATGTAAAGACAGAGCCAAAGTATAAGCCTATCTCTAACCCTGAATCATAAAAATGTTTAGACAACCAACACCCCAGGATGGGGTGGGGTCATCATCATTCATTTGGCCCAAGTAAATATGGCCAGGCCAAACGACGAGTGAATGCTATCAGCTAACTGGGATCTGATGTGACCCGAATTTCAGGAGCCGAGGCCGTTGGAATCCCTGCTGACTTAGGCAGGACGACAGTTTAAAGCTCAGCGAAAATTATGAATAAACTGCCAGGCTAAGCCATCTTCATGGATGATAGATATCTCTAAAAACTAATGCCAACTACAAAACAGCTAGTCAGCATGGTGAGTTGTTGGTTTTCCAACGAGAAAGGGTAAACCATTATCGGAGTCCATCTTCTTTAGAATTGTATAAATGAAAGTGATAGTAATAGATGGTCAACAGTTGAGATTTTAAGAGGTTCTAAGCAGCTTTCGATTACGACTATGAAAATGTATATATGCCTTCATGAGTCACTGCTTCCCAGATCCAATTCCTTTATGAAAATGAATCTGTTAAGTATCCTTCCCAACAGGTCATCGAAGTCCCTAACTGACTTTTATAAAAAATAAATGGAACACCTCGTCAAACTTTTTGTTTGCTAATTACCATTACTTTTCCTACACCTTTAATTAGAGAAGCTATTAATTATATATTTATTTTATAATAACCCGAAGATAGTTTATTAAAATAGAAAAACTAATCAAGGAAATGATATATACCGACGTTCATGAGTATTTAAGACTCATGACAACAACAAATTCACTTTCTTTTCTTTATATATTTATTAAAATACAAAATTATACAATTGTTGCCAATCAAGCAATCCTTGTTTATAGCTTTACCCATCAACTAACTCTGTGAAACATCTATACCTCATTCTACAACGAATCCCGAACCAGTATCAATAGTTTTTCGGAGCTAAATTTCGGTGTACATTTTTTATTCCGATTCAAATTCAAATTAAGAAAATAAAAACCCATTTTGAACATGGCCAATTTCAAGAAGCCATTCGAGGTAAATCGTCTTGTGGAACTGCTAAAGGCGAGCCGAGGAATGACCAGTACTGGTAGGCGTCCCATCTTTGATGTGGAAACCCGAAAGGATTTTATGCAGCGGGTGATCAACAGTGACCGTCCCGTGGTTGTGGACTTCCATGCCAGGTAAGGTTCACTTTCTAAAATTCCTAGTGCTAAAGGTGGTTTCCTCCCTGGACAGCTGGTGCTGTCCCTGCAAGGCTCTGGCCCCGCGGCTGGAGAACATCGTGTCCGAGCAGGAGGGCCGGGTGAGGCTGGCCCGTGTGGATATCGATGAGCTTGGGGATCTAGCCCTTGACTACAACGTGGGATCCGTGCCCTCGCTGATGGTCATCAACAAGGGAAAGGTGGTGAATCGCATGGTGGGTCTGCAGACCAGCGAATACATTCGCAAGTGGCTCGCCAAGGTGGTTAAATCTGTAAGGACCTCTGAGAAATAAGAATGACTAAATTGGTATTATCATCATGTGTGGGAGCCAGATTCAATCATAATCAGGGCAGCACGTTTTAAATGAATTTTGAATCAAAAATGTAACACATTTCTCCTTTTTGTATTTTAAAAATTGAGCTCAAAATACATAGCTAGTAATTATACTTGATGATTTAAGGAATCTTGATTAGGGCAGTATATTTTCTCTTGGTGTTGCTTTACTCCCAATTCAAAATGCAAACAAAGTCTCGTCTCGTGTTCAAACAATTTGTGGATCGCTGCCAGTGGGTACAATATGTGTATTTCCCAATTGTTTGCGTATTTGTTTGCCAAAAACAACATACTGTGTGTGTGCTGTGTGTGGTGTATTCACTTGTTGTGTATCCTGTTCTCCTTGCCATCCTAGGCGTTGGCAATGCTTGGGGGAATGTCTCTAATTGATTTTGGTAATGTTGCTTTTTAATGAAGTGTCAAATGTACGGCTGCCTGCTACATATGATGATGCATGTGGTGTCAACTCCCACAGGAGTCCAAAAGAAACACAATTAATGCCGTCTACTGTATGCTGTCTACTGTGAGTGGTAAATTAATTATAAACTGGCATATAAAAAGTCTAGACTGTATAGAAAACACTTCATAAATCTGAAAATTGTGTTTAAAAATGTATAAAGTGAACCTTAAATAAGAATTTGGTTATGGTAATCTATTTCTATACTTTCTATAGATTATAAATAAATCTATAAATAGACTTTGCCACGTTCTAGGAAACCCAGAACCTCACAGGAGGAAACGCTTTCCACGATCACTGAAGTTACCAAGGCCCATTAGCTCAGTTGGTTAGAGCGTCGTGCTAATAACGCGAAGGTCGCGGGTTCGATCCCCTCATGGGCCAGAAATACTTTTTTCTATTTTATTTTTACCCTTTGTTTCATATAAATATATTTTTTGTTGATCAAATGAAATCACTTTCCCCAATTAAAATCGTAAAGATAAAGTATTGACAATACTGCTGGATATGCTGGGTAGTTTGTTTACTGTGGACCCACAAAATAGATTTGCCGCAATGTAATTGAGTATTTGTATTCAATTAAGACTTATTTCAATATTTGCATAAATGCTACAGCGCCAGACAACCAGCAGACAGTCCAGTCCAGTCGAGTTGAGTTGAGTCGAGTGGAGGAGTGCAGTCCAGTTTGTTGGGCAGAGAGAGAGTCCTCGAGCGGATATAAATCCCTCATATGTTCGGGCATAATTTGCTGAAACGGAACTTGGACAAACAGGAGGCAGGATGCTGGGCAGGGTGGAAGGACTCTTTTCACCGTGGACCGCACACAAACACACAACAGCATCCCGGCATCCAAAATCTCTGGACCAGTGAGGTGTGGGTGTCATGTGTGTGTGCACACTGTCTGATTTTGACAGCCCGCATAAAGCGAGCAAAGGACTCACTTCTGGCAACACACGATGTGTCCTCGCCGCCAAGGTAAACACTTGGGAAAGGGCCAGCTAAATGCATTACCCGCTGCGTCCTCTACTAAAATGGCGACAAAAACTGCAACAAATATTAATTTTTATTATGCAAACATTGCTTTAATTACATTATTTTTGCGTACACGCCCGCCAAACAAACTTTTTCCCCACTTCACTTGTGCGTGCTTCCGTGTGTGTCCAGCTCTTCAGCTCTTCAGCTTTTCCTCCTGCTCCCTCCTCACTCTGATCAATCACTGGAAAATTGGATTTTCATATGTGCAGCACTTTGTGTCCTCCTCATCCTCCACCTCCTCCTCATGTCCTGATCCCTCTCTCCCCGCAGCAGTTTATGCAATTTCCGATACCCACCGTTGCCTTGTGGCGGCAAAAATCAATCGCTGCCCCTTCTACGCCCCCGAATCGTTTGACAAGCACAAACACAAACTTAATCAGTACCCATGGATTGGTCAATAATTTTTAAATACAAATCAAGTGTTAACTGGGGGTCTTAATTGTGGGTTGTCCGCCCCAAGCCAGAGCACGCAAAAAAACACGGATTTTTCACCTGTGGAAATCGGCTTGTGTGGCGGGTTTTTTTTTATGGGAATAAAGTTAAATTTTTACCAAAGGCAGAAAGGCTGCCGCAAAAAAATGAATGTTAATTTAAATGGTCACTTTGGGCTCGGTTTTTGCGAAACCATTTTTTAAATTTTTATATAAAAGTTTATCAAGATAACAAATAGACATATGTTAGTCTTAAAAACATTTAATAAAACATATCTTGAAAGGGATTTTATTTTATTTATCTAATTGAGGTTTGATTGAAGCATTTTAAAAGCTTTATTAATTGGATATGTGTAGTCTTTTTTAAACCCCATGTGAATCCCCGTTGTAATCTTTCATAACAATCCCCTTAATTGTAAAATTGCTGAACTTGTGGTATATAAATTTTACACTAAAAGCTTAAGTACAAGCTGAATGGTAGTAAATATCGAAACTCGGAAAAACCGCAAATGACCCCTCCAAAAAAGAAAAACACTGACAACGTGGGATTTTAACACTCGCCAGCTGACTGCGTCAAACTCAATCCAGGCGGAACCCTTTTGCTGTCTCAATAGGAAAGTCCTGGGGTAAGGAGGAAATGTGTCCGGTTCATATATATATGTATTTTTTCTACTGTTTGCTTCCCCCTTTTTGGCATCTATCGAATATACGTCGGATGCCAGTCTGACGGAAATTCGATTTATTTTCATCAATATTCAATGTCAATGCAACATCTTCGTGGGCCAAAACCAAAAGCGTACATCAAGCATGTCACCCACCAGCAGCAACAACAGCAACAACAAGAGCAACAACAGGACGAGCACAAAACCCAACAAACCAAAGGGACAGGACGGTAGCAGACCGCAAGGACCTCCAAAACTCTCCAATCCCATGGAAATGGACTTTGTGGCTTGAAACTTTTTGGGGGTTTTTGCTATTAAAATTTGATGTGCATGTTGTTGTCTCGTTGTCGCAGCTGCACGTGCACAAGCCACTGGCAGCCACCACCTCTACCTGTCCTGTCCCCCAAAATACCTCTTTCCCGGCCAGGTGGAATTGTCGCAGTCTAGCGCAGTTTTTGGCCATTCATCTGTGTTGTGGGGTTGCTTCCCAAAACTTGATGCGCTCTGGTTCTGGTTCTGCCTCTGGTCTGCCCATTGCATATTTAAACAAATTTATTTGCAATTTAGTGTTTGCGGTTTGCTGGCATTGGCCATTGAAGCTTCAAACTCAAAGCCAAACTGTATGGTTTTATGCAATTCCGTGGCGCGCTTTTAAGTGGCGCGAAAATTAATTAAAATTTTTGCCATTTATTGACAAATATGTCAATTTGATTGGCAAAGGGGGGAAAAGCCAACACCCTCCACAATAACCAGAACCAGAACTTTTCAAATTTACTGTACATAATTTTTGGTGAATCTTTAATACAAGCCCTGGCTATGGGGGGCTCCTTCAATGCAAACAAGCACACCACATACATAGTTCCAGAGCTTAAATGTCCAGTATATACCGGTCTTCCTGCTTCCGTTGCCATATCGCTTCTCTTAGCAATGCAAACAGAGGCGGCAAAAACCAACAGAGTCGCGCTCCGTGAGTGGTTATTAAAGCCATATCTGCGCCAGTGGGCAAAAAATGGATGCACAGCCTCAGCAGATGTGTGGGAGTGGGCTGCAAGTCTGCGATAACAGCAACGATGTGGCCACGGTGCCGAGTAAATACATAATCCACGTGAGCTGCAGCATTGTGTTCGTGCGAGAATTGCAATTGTAGTTATCACTGCGCAAACCGTGCACCATTAAAATTATAGAATAAATAAAAATGACAGATTTAGTTAAATATTGAATAAAAAGATTTGTAAACAAAAAATTCGACACTGTGAACTATCATCTAGCAGAGCAAGGTTTCGATCCTCGGACCTCTGGGTTATGGGCCCAGCACGCTTCCACTGCGCCACTCTGCTCGTTGAATTCGCTGTAGCCAAAAGGTTCCATTGACATAAATGAAATCGAAAGTCAGTTACAATGGAAAATAGAGGCGAATTGTTTGATTTTTATCTGAAACGTAAGTTGGGCCTAGAACAGTATTATTAAATAAATATGTTAAAATTCGTTACTTTGCAGTTACTTATCGCATGTTGACCTATTTTCTACACACGTGACAACAAGCAGAGTGGCGCAGTGGAAGCGTGCTGGGCCCATAACCCAGAGGTCCGAGGATCGAAACCTTGCTCTGCTAATGAGTAATTCACGGCGTTGAATTTTTTCTTGCTGAAATTTATATTTAGTTTGTAATATATTTTAGATTGCTATACAAATAAAATATAAATTGATTGGGGAAAAATAACAATATTTTATGAGTCCTTGTAAAATTCTAAAAAGAATAATACAAAAAAAATTTCCCATACCGGGAATCGAACCCGGGCCTTCTGGGTGAAAGCCAGATATCCTAGCCACTAGACCATATGGGACACTTTTAGTAGTTCGACTAATGTCACTCTTGTGACTCAACATGAAAAAGTAATGCAATCTTGAATGATTGTATTGTTAAAAAAGACTCTTCAGGTTCAAATTGCACAAGTTATTAATAATATAAAATTATGTTAGCTCTGTATATTTTTTAAAGGTCGACTACTGCTTTAAAAGTTGTATTTCCTTACACTTAAATAGAAGCAATTGAATTGAATTAGAATTTTAAAAATTTGGCTTTTGAAAATTCCACGGACTTCAAAACATCTATATTTAAATAAGGATGATAACTTAAAATTTTCATTAATGAAGAAAGTAAAAGTCAAAAATTCGAAAAAGTATTTTCCAGTTGGTTTTCACTCAACTTTCCCATACCGGGAATTGAACCCGGGCCTCCCGGGTGAGAGCCGGGTATCCTAACCACTAGACAATATGGGAGGTGTTTGTCCACCTGACAAATATAGTTCCTAAGAGAAGCACTGTTAATATGTATTAGCTAGATTCCAGTGCATTTTCATTATCCATAACAATAAGAGATGGTTTATAGGGGTTGTATATCTCACAATATTATAAAACTCGAAAAATAGAATTTAGAGCAATTTTTTATATAAATTCTTTGCAGCTTTTAGTATTAAATATAGTGCAAAAATTATATCCCAAGCTTATATGTTTAGATATACTAAAGAATATT